AGATCCGCACCTCTTCAACAGCATGATTAACACGGCTTACGTGATCGCTTTCTCTCTTTCGATGGTGATGGGGGCTTTGGGATATGTCATGTGAGTGGTGCATTCGCTCTCGTTCGACGAGCTGTTAGCTGATCACGACCTTTCATTGCGGCCAGGTTCGGCAACGACGTTTCAGACGAGGTGACGAGGGACTTGCGGCTTACGCACGGCTACCCACAAGCCCTCAACAAAGTCGCTGTCTGGATGATTGCCGTAAGCCTCCTTCCATGGCACCACGTGGTGTTCCACCTGACCCCTCTCTCCGCACAGATCAACCCCGTCGTGAAGTACGCGCTCGCCCAAAGCCCACTCGCATCAACCCTCGAGCACCTCGTCGGCCTCGGTGCGCCTGCTCACTCCTCCGACGACTCTCACTCCCACTCGCTCCCACACGACTCCTCCCACCTACCCGACGAATCCGCCATCTCGATCGACTCGGCCGATTCGTCCTCCGCAATCCCGTACCCACACCCACATGACCTCCCTCCTCACTCAGTCGACTCCCCAACTAAAGTCTTTCTCCGCCTCTTCACCCGCCCTCTCCTCATGCTCGTCGTCGTCGGCGCCGCCATCGCCATCCCGAACTTTGGCATCGTGCTCTCCTTCCTCGGCTCTTCGTCTGCTTTCGTCATCTGCGCTATTGGACCTATTGGAGCGTATTTGATACTGGGGAGTAAAGGGTATAGGAGGAAGCATAGCGAGTTGGGGTTGGGCGAGTGGGAGGGGTTGGGAAGGGTCGAGAGGGGGGTTTGTTGGGTCCTGTTGGTGGTGAGTGTGGGGCTGGCGGTGACGGGCACGGTGTGGGTCTTTTTGCCCGGGTTGCATGATTCCCGGCGGTAGGAGGGGGATACATGGTTTGATTTGCGAGGTGAACGCAGAGATACCGACACCACTACGACATCATTATCCTAGATCTACCCTCCCTCCTCCATATCTTTCCGTAATGCAGTTTTGTAGCAGTAAGCACGTCGGACGCTCTTCTCTTGCCTTTTGGGACGTTCAGTCTAGCATTCCTTTTTGCATTGGCATCCATCCATCCCACCTTTGCGCGCCGTTTCCTGGGCCAAGTGGGATCGTGTGGATCCTTCGAAGGGGATGCGGATACCCAGCTGACGAGAGATGGGACCCCGCCCTAGCTTGTTGTGGATCGTCTCGTTCCTCTCTTCATTTTCCGTGTGTTCTGCTACGAGACCGTTTTAGTGACCGGGCGGGATGTGCCAAGAAGTCTCCACACTTCCGCTTGCTCCGAGTCCGGCGTTTACGACGGAGCGTTCCCACCGGCGCGGCTCGACGGGCTTTAGTGGGCAACCCAATAGTCCCCATGGGCAAGTTTCTCACCAAAGTAGTCAGCTGATCGACTCCACAAATCTCCTCCTCAGCCCCACAGCGGGGGCCCCTCTTGATAGCGACCCCCGCTCATCGCTTCTCCACATGAGCTGGAGCGAACGTGACACGTTGACCCCCGCCAAGGCGAGGAGGAGCTTCCAAGCCTGAGTGGATCCCCCAGAATAGCTTCCTTTAGCCTCCCTTCCTTCCCTCTTCCCTTCTCTCCTCTTCTTCGTTCCATCCCATCCCCACCCCTCCCCTTCCCTCCTCCACCATGTCGCAGAGTTCCCTCAAGAACAACAGCCAAGTCGAGATGAAGACCGAACAAGAGATGATCGAGAATGCGTCGGCGCACAAGGACTACCACCACAACCCCGACGAGTTCAAGCATGGCGATCAGGCCCTCGCCGTGTCGGAGGAGAGGGTCCTCGTGACGGACGCGGATTCGAGGAGGATCGCGAGGGCGATTGATAAGCACCTCTTGCCCATCTTGGCGTGGATTTATTTCTGTGGGTCCCTTGTTCCTTTCATACTATTTTGACAAGGTTGCTTTTGCTGACATTCAGCTGTTGCTCGGTCGAACCGCAGTGCAAAGTGCGTGTCCTCCCCCTTCGCACTTCCGGCACAAGTGGGCACCAGACTGACGTTTGTATGCGTATCAGTCCTCGACAAGACCGTCGTAGGATATGCAGCCATATATGGGTTAAAATCCAACACCCACCTCGTCGGAAATCAGTACAGCAATGTGGGGTCCATCGGCTGTGAGTGATTTTGGTCTGCTGGCCTCGCCACGTGGCTGGCACTGACGGTTCCTTCGTAGACTATGCCCAGGTAAGCGAGAACACGCCCACCAGGGTTTGTCCATTCTGCGTGACTCGCTACTGACGCGAACACATTTGGACGTGTACAGCTCGCTGCCCAGCCTCTCGGTGCCTTCCTCCTCGTCAAGTATCCCAGTGAGTGCCAACCACCGTCCTTAGGACGTTCCGAGCTTGCTGACCTCCGTTCTTGACAGTCAAGTGGACCATGGTAAGCTCCAGAGTACAATTCGTAGACATCAAGCTGACGTGTTCCCTTCCCCCAGCCAATCATGTGCTTCTGCTGGGGCGCGTCTCAGTGTGGCCTCGCTGGGGCTCACAACTATGGTGGACTGTAAGCCGCTAGGTCATGTTTTCAAGAAGGGTTGTAGCTGAAGCTTTGCTCTCAGACTCGGCGCACGCTTCATGCTCGGTTGGTGGGAGGCTTGCTGCCTTCCCCTGTTCGCCGTCATCACGATCTCCTGGTACCGACGGTGAGCCCGACTTAGCCTTGTTGGACTCCTCTGCTACTCTTCGTACTCACTTGTTTTTCGTCATAGATCCGAGCAGCCCTGGCGTGTCGGTGAGTGTCCAACGAGCTTTCGAATACACGTGCGCGCGAGCTGATTTGTTTCCTGGCTCGATCCAACGATTCCAGCGATTTGGTATGGTGAGCGAAGATCCTCCGAGCGATCAGTCCTCTCGCATACTGATTGAGTTGATTCTACAGGTACCAACGGAGCGGCGAACTTCATTGGTGCTCCGCTTGTCTACGGTCTGGGACACATCAAGAGTACGCGCCACGTAATCTCGCCCCTCTTGCGATCCTCCAGCTTATCCTCGTCGCAACAGGCACCGTGCTTTACTCGTACCAAATCATCTTTCTCACCACCGGGTTGCTCACCGTTGTCACGGCCGTCATCATCTACTTCATGCTCGACAACAGCGTCATGGAGGCGCGCTTCCTTTCCCCGGAGGACAGGATCAAGGGCGTCGAGCGTCTCAGGAGCAACAACCAGGGAGTCACTTCGACCGAGTTCAAGTGGAGGCAGGTGTTGGAGTTGATGATTGAGCCTAAGGTGAGGGTGTTACTCGGAGCAGTGCATCGGGATGGAAGGCTGACGGTGGTCTCACGGTAGTTCTGGATCTTCCTCGCTATGGTATCCTTCCCCTTCAGTCGCTTCATTGAAGTATGAGACCTGATCCAAATGGCTGGTAGACCTTTTTCCTCAATGTCGGCTCAAGTATCTCCACGATTTTCGGACCCTTGATCATTCAGGGACTCGTCGGCTTCGACGCCTACACCGCCACGTTGCTTGAGTGAGTCCTTCTACGCGCCATGCACGTGCACTCGGGGACTGACACCATTGCACCACTAGCATCCCCTTCGGCGCCCTCCAGACCATCCTCATCCTTGGCTCTTGCTGGCTCTCGCAGAAGTACAAGCGCAAGTCCGTCATCCTTGCCGGCACCGTCGTCCCCGTCATCATCGGCCTCGCGATCCTGTGGAAAGGTACGCCTGCTCGCGTGATGTGTTTCAGACTGGCGCTGATGATGGAAGATCATTGTTAGTTCCGCGTGTTGATTCCAACAAGGGACCCTTGCTCCTCGGATTCTATCTCATCGCCTTCCTTTACGCTTCGCTCCCCCTCATCGTTGCTTGGAGTGAGTGCTTTCCCTTGCGATGAGGCTGACCGCACACCTAACGGGAGCAATCACAGTGGGTTCCAACGTTTCCGGCCACTCGAAGAAGACTGCTGCTATGTGTGGAGTGAGTCTCTCTCCATCTGCAACTTCTATCGGAGGCGAGTGCTAACGAATGGCTCAACAGTTCAACGGTGCTCAAGCGGTAGGCTCTTCCTCTGTCGACAGAACCACGTCAACCGGCTGACTGACTTCTACTCCTCCTGCAGGCCGGACATTTCCTCGGTCCTGTAAGTCCAACATTTGTTACCCGATCCAGAAACCCCTACTGACTCTCTCTCATCCACTCAGCAACTCTTCAAAGCCTCCCAAGCGCCTCAGTACCTCGAAGGCCTCAAAGCGACCATGTGCATCTTCTGCGTTCTCCTCGCCCTCGTCGGCGTCCAGGTCCTCAACCTCAGGTACCTCAACAAGAAAAAGGAGAAGTTGCGCGTCAGGAACGGCAAGAAGGCGAAGCTTGAGGACTTGAGTATGGAGAAGACTTACGTGGCGGGTGAGAATGATGGGACGGGAGAGAAGGCGTTCTTGGACCTTACGGACAAGGAGAACGACGAGTTTGTTTACGTCTACTGAAGTAGAAAAGGTGAGCATCATTGTGGATTTCTTGAGACGTTCCTTCATATTACAGCCTGACACTGACACGCCTCATTTCAGGAAACGGGTGTACATTCAATCAGTATTGACAGGCGGGACAGCCTCCACTGTATCAAATCAGTTGTATATGAAATCGAGAAGCTATCTTGTCTGTTGCTGAGCTCGTGTATCCCCCAAGCTCCACCTTTTTCGCGTCGTCCACCGAACTCACGAGGGCAGCAGGGCGGGAGGGGTCTACGCCGACGTCAGGACTCGTGCAATTGATCTTCCCGGCCAAAGCTGGTCAATTGAACGTATCATCAACTACTTCTGCTGCAAAGATTGGACAAAAACAGCCCGCAGCGACTTGGAATTGGTACACGTGTCGCCCAAATTTAACCCGCTGTCCCGGGGTTGCCATTTGGGGACCTCCTGACATCTAAACACTTCTCGGTCGTATAACGGTCAGTATACAAGCTTGTCATTTTCCGAATGTGCGCTTGTGATCCGGGTTCGATTCCCGGCCGGGAAGGTTTATCCTCTCTTCTCTTTTCTTTACCTTTCTCGGTCGTATAACGGTCAGTATACAAGCTTGTCACGCTTGTGATCCGGGTTCGATTCCCGGCCGGGAAGTGAGTGAAGTCGGATACCTTTTTGGTGTCTATTAATAAAATCTTCTCCACGGTGGACCTCTTCTTTTTGTTTTTGGTGTCTATTAATAAAATCTTCTCCACGGTGGACCTCTTCTTTTTGCCGCCCCCTTGCTGGCTGACCTTTGCTCTTGCGCTCCGACGTGCGTCTTCTGGTGACAGTAGGACATCAAAGAATTTTCAACAAAGACGTTTTGTCATTGGTTTGCGAAGTGGACAAGAGCTACAAGGACGGGCGCGAAGAGCAATACGTGGTCTCGCCCTTCCGCCGCGCAAACAGCCAACTCGCTCTCACTCCCAAGCCACGCCAGTACGCCATCTTCACCTGACAGACAGACAGCATGTATATGCACTTCATCTCATTCCACTCCCACTCAAACCATCTACACATTCAAAGCACAATGACCTTCAACTCGGCCACCCCCATGCCCTTCACCGCCTCCTTAGCAGCCAACATCGCCGCGTCCTCCTCAACTCCACTCTTCTTGCTCAACACAAGTCCCGGGAAAGTAAACTTGGGCAAGCTAAACTTGGGCGTCTCGATCGCCAGAGCCTTGGCCTCGTCGCTCGATAGCTGGATGCCTTTCTTTGCTGGTGTCGAAGTCGCGGGAGCGGCGGCGGCGGCGGAGGTGGGCGTGAAGACGAAGCCTGGTGCCGAGGCGGGAGCTGCAACAGGCGCAGGGGTCGATGAGGGGACTTTGGCGGCGCCGAAAGAGAATGGCGTAGAGGGAGCAGCGGGAAGGGAGGGAGTGGTGGTCGTGCCGAACGCGAAGGGCGCTGGTGGTGGAGGGGCGACCTTGGCCTGCTCCTTCGCCTTGACTTTCGATGCCGTAGGCTCAGGAAGCGCGTAAAGGTCCTCCTCCTCCTCCTGTGCTTCCTCCTCGCCTTCTCCGTCCTCATCTGCACAATTAAAATCAACAGCCCGCATCAGCGCCACGTCACCCACCTCGCAAAATAGAGCAAACAAAAGAAACGCACTAATCTCATCCTCCTCCTCCTCCGCTTCATCGTCCTCCTTATCACCACCCTCCTCCTCCTCATCATCATCATCACTCAACTCGATCACCTCGATCTCCTTCTTCGCTTTCTCCTTAGGCTTCAACGACGCCGCTGACGACTTCGCGGGTCCAGGAGCAGGTGCAGGCGCGGCTGCAGGCTTAGCGCCAAACGAGAACGGAGAAGCAGCAGCTCGTGTAGCAGTAGGAGGGCTGGCACTTGCTCCAAACGAGAACGGCGCGGCCGGGGTCGTCGGCTTCGCATTGGCACCGAACGAGAACGGCGCGGCCGGGGTCGACGACGAGGCCGAAGCTGACGCGCCGAAAGTGAATGGCGATGCGGGAGCAGGTGCAGAAGATGTAGTGCCGGATGGGGAAGTGGTGGAGGCGGAGGAGGAGCCGAAGGAGAAAGCTGGTGCTGCTGGCTTTGGGGGAGCTGGGGAAGGAGTAGGGGCAGTTGAACGCTTGGAAGATGCTGCCGTGTCCTTGCGGTACTCCTGAGAGTAACGAGGGTCAACAATCTTGCGGAAGACAGATCGAAAGCGGGAAAAAACGAACGACAGGCATGCTCCTCTCCAGAATCTCCCGCTGCGTCAGCTCTTTCTCTTTAGGCTTCTCCGGCGCAGGCGCGGCCTTGGCTTTCTCCGTCTTGGCCTGAAAAGGTTGATCGTCAGCATCTTACTCGTGAGACACGGGAGCAGCAACGAAATTTGAGGAAAACTCACAGCCCTCGCAGCCCTCGTCCTCGGCACCCTCGCGATCGGGTCGTCGTTCGTCTCATATGGGTTCAACACGCTGTCCTTGTCGTTCTTCTGCTTCCGATCAAACCCAACATTCAATTCGTGAGTCACCGATGCTTTGCGATTGAAAAGGGACAGCGAAAACGCTACTCACGGGAACTTCGGGAGCAGAGGAAGGGGAAGCACGGATGATGTCGAGCATGATCTCCGCCGCGGTTGAAGCCGGGATAGTCGACTTCTTGGGAGGAGAAGGAGACGGCGTAGCTACAAACACCCACAAGTAAAGAGCTACCGTCAGCGACGCTCTTCCAACTTGACTCCTCGCGCACTCCCTTCCCCACCACCTCGCACAGCGCCAGTTCCGACCAAGCAAGAACGAGAGAAACCCCACTCACCAGCCTTCTCGACCTGCCACAACGGACTCTTCCTAACTGGCGTGCTGGTCTGCTTCGCCGCCAAACTCGACACATTGAACATACTCTTGCTCTTCGTCAACCCTCCCTCTGCCTTCTTCCCACCCTCGTCCCTCTCCCTCTCGCCCAACCCCACCGTCGGCGGGGCCTCCTCTTCCTCGTCACCACCCATCTTCCTCCTCTTGCCCTCACCTAACCCTGACAGCCCACTCTCACTCTGACTCTTGACCAACCCCTCTCCAGCGGGCTTTCGCCTCCGCGCAGAGTATCCCGCACCGACGTAGATTGGTCGTCTGCGACGGAAGGGAGCTGAGGTGGAGTTGGTGGCGGCAGTGGTGGAAGTGACGGATGGGGAGGCGGGAGCGATGGAGCCAGAACCGGAGGCGGAGGCGGCAGGAGCGGGGGAGGAGTAGCGAGAGGGGGAGAAGAACGACGGAATGGGCTTCGCTTTTGATGCTACGACGGGAGAAGGCTATGATGGATGACAACGTGAAAGAGCGTCAGCATTATGAAATCGCAAAAAACAGAGACCAGAACGAGACTCACAGGAGCGCTCTCTTCCCTCGGCGCGAAGTTTGGCGTGAAGGCCGTCGGGAGGTTCGGGAACGACGGCGAGTGGTAGAGTCCTTTCTGCTGTTGTCTGTACTCCTGCTGAGCCTGACTGAAGTCGATCCGGCCAGGGACGTAGACGGGCGATGGAGGCGCTTCGTGGTCCTAAGCGCGCGTCACGGAGTCAGTCGCGTTCGTCTGCTGCGACGGTGGGTTGGAGGATAGAGAGGGAAAGAAGACGAACGGAATCATCCTGAACCATCATCTGCGCGCTGTCCTCCATCTCCGAATCGCCCTGTGCTTCATCCTGGTCGTCGTCGTCCTGGTGATCAACAACAGGAGCTGGCGTCCTTGCGCGGAAAGGCGAGAGAATCGCCGCGAACAGTCCTCCCAGTCTCGACTATATTCTCATTGATTAGGATCCATCTGTGATGATAGAAAGAGTAGGCAGAGCAGGACGCACAGGGGTGTCGGGCTGGTGTTTACTCTGAGGGGTTGGACGAGAGGGCGAGTAAGGCGCCGATGCGACGCGGCGGGCAGAGCGCGACGCCGAATGGGCTGGCGAGGGTCGTGAGGAGGAGGCGTCCTCTTTTGGCATTTCTATTCGTAACTCGTCGTCGTCGTCGTCGTCGCCGTCGTCGTCGCTGCCAGAGAAACGACGGCGAAGGAGGGGAGGCGAGGCTTACGTCCTCGCAAAGTCGCTCGAAAAATAAATCCTAACGCAGACTTCGCTGAGCCAGGCGCAGACAGGTACCTCAGCTCCCCCATCCATTCGTGCAAAGTATGTCATAACTTCCAAATCTACACATACTCCTAGCAACTAACACGCTCCACTAGTGATCGGCTATCTCTCGTCGTTCGCCGCGCTCGGCTTCGGCGTCCGCGTCTACCAGCTCGCGATCCTCAAGCGCAACATCTTCTCCAGTCCGTCCCTCCCCTCCACTTCTCTCACTATCTTCTTCCTTTCACTAATCTCACTTCCTAACGGTGCAACGGTGAACAGACCTCGGCGGCCACGCCCTCTCGATGGGAGCGTTCACGGGATTGGGCTACTACTGCTACAACCTCAAGTACCTCTCCCTCCGTCCTCCTCCTTGTCCCTTCCACTCACCAATCATACTTTGCACTATAGGGAGTCACAACTCGCCCAGCTCGCGGACAAGAAGGACCAGCTGTTGCGCATGAGGGAGCGCGAGGCCCACCTCGACGAGCTCAAGCAGAACGCCGGAGGAGACGCTCACCACCACTAGACGAGCCGAACGGCGAGCGGTTAGAGGGAAGAGTGGCATGGGGAGGAGGGAGGAAAGGGAGGAGGGAGGAAAGGGAGGAGGGAGGAAAGGGAGGGAGTGGCATTGTATTGAACAGAGTTGTTTTCCTTTGGTGTGTCTCCTTCCTTTTTGTTGGCCCCAGAGCGAAAGCAGGAGGGGACGCGGGTGTGGGTTCGTGGGTTCGTGCTGCTTAGGAGAACACAGACGAAGGAGACGATCTGGTGGGAGGGTTTGGGGTCTTGTTGGGACCCGACGGCTCGAAAGAGACGCGCGGCGGAGGGAACGAAGATCGACTGGAGGTCTCGCTGGAAGGACGCCAGAGCGAAGGGAAAGAGAGACGGTGATGAGTAGCAGAAGCTCAAGAGGACGACTGCTTGGGCTTGGGACCTGCGACAGCGATACTCGACCCGCCGTGCGCCGACTTTCTTCTTGACTCCGAGCTCTCTGCCTACACGCCGCTCTGTTGGCGACTCTGCCACGCTTCGACGACAGTTTCTTCTCCTGCTTGTGTAAAAGTTCTCTTCTACTGGGCTCTCTGTCGGTCCGTTCTGGTCCAGACAGCGTCGCTTGCGTGGTTCTCAGGAACGTCGTCAACGAAAGTAAAGGCTTGCGTTGGCACCACACCTCCACCGACCTACACCTTGACAGAAAGAGGGCCCGCCTCTCCCTCCTCATTTCCTTCCACCTCCCCTTTATCTTCCACTCATTTCTCACTCGATGACCTCCAGAACACCGTTCGTCATCCTCGTCGGAAGGTTGTCTGTCCACGAGTCACCACCAATCGGGATGGGATCAATAAATGATCAAAAACTGCCAGCGAGAGGTGTCAGAGAAGGGGAAGGACGTACGGCTGATCCAGTTGACGTCCCTCGGGTTGACCGGGACGTTCTTCCTCCGCGACACGTCGACGTGGTGCTCGTGCGACGCATGACGGGCGATGACGAAGAGCTCGCCTGTCAATGAATGAGGGAGCAAGTGAGTGAGTAATGAGAATGTGAGAGATGGTTGGGAGAGTGTG